ACCTGCACATGCCGGCACACCTTCATTGCCGTGGTGATGGCAAGGATGGATGTGCGGGCCGATCGCATCTCTGGATATGCCACGGCGGAGGCTCAATCCTCCACCAGCTTTGCCGAGGGACTCGCCGAGGCCCAAGATCCTGACCCTGAAGAGGAGAAGTCCGTTGACGACGAGGTGATCCTGTCCGAGTTGGAGGACCTTAACTTCTCCGGGGACCAGGCGCAGATGGTCTTCGCGATCCTCGAGAACCGACCACCGAGGCGCCGAAGGACATGGAAGGAGAACAAGATGTTCAAGGCCGAAGCCAGGAAGGACCGCAAGCCTTTCCGCAAGGGAGATGCTCAGCCCGAGGGAGGACGGACGTCTGGAGCTCGCGCCGGCCTATCCCGTGAGCAGCTGAAGAAGATCTCCACATGCCGCAACTGCGGTCGCAAGGGCCACTGGGCTGAGGACTGTCAACAGCCAAAGAGTGGAGGCCCGGGAGGCGATCGAGGCCGGGTTTCAGGCTTCTGCTATCTCGGACGCCAAACTCCTGAAGGCAACGGTTTCTGCGGGCTGACGGCATCCGAGTGGCGCAAGATCATGTCTGCGGCAAAGGGGTCTGTGGAGATCGAAACGTCACAAGCCAGGAGCTTCTTGACGCTGAGGTCCGGCACAGCCATACTTGATATTGGCGCCACGCAAGACCTGATCGGGGACAGAGCTCTGGCAGCCCTCAGCAGCGTCTTGTCCGAGGCTGGCTTGAAGTGCGTGGAGGTGCCAGTAGATTCCCAGGGGCCTCCCACAGGGATAGGAGGAGCAGCGACTGTGACCCGGGCGGTCCTAGTGCCAATCTCACCCGGCGGAGTTCCGGGGGTGGTACACTTCACGGTGCTCAAGGAGGACGTACCACCACTGTTGAGTGTGGGCCTTCTAGAGCACTTGGGGGCCACGGTGAATCTCGTCAGCAACGAAGTGCACTTCCAGAGCATCGACGTCGTCAGGAGCATGCAGAAGGAGGCATCAGGACATCGAACGATACCACTCGTTGAGTGGGATGGCTCCCGTTTTCCAGTGCCCAAGGAGGCCCAGGAGCATTTTGGACTCCTGGAAGACTCGTTCATGCTGAAGCCGAAGGGCAAGCCCTCCTCCGCGTACGCAAAACAAAGTGAAGCTCAGGGTGACCTCGACGATGTGTACACTACTCCTTGCAGTAAGGCATCGCATGACATGATTCCTGACAGTTTGCAGTGTCCGAAGCCCATCCGATGCCAGTCTTCCGTTGAGAGCAGACTAGATGAGGGGAAGTCATATTCATGTCCGGTGAGCTCCACCAGTTCGAGGGCGAACATCTTGCGGCGCACCCAGCAGTTTTCGGCCCTATGAGTTGTAGCGACCTCAATTCGACAACATCCGGTTCCAGCCCCGCTCCCACTCGTGACCATGGACTCTCAAAGAGGGCCCCTGGCGGGGCAGAGATGGCGGGCGCTGGTGTCCCCCCGGGTCGAAGGTACTACTGTATGGCACGAGCGGCGTGATGAAGATGGACGAGTTCGAGCTCGAGGCCCCGGAAAGCCACCACGGGAAGGTTCAGGAGAACATCATCAAGTTCGTCAATGGGTCATCGACGAGAAGCTGATCAACATCTTCTATATGCACGACACCTCCGTGGGCGTCTACGGCATGAACGCCGAGGGAAAGGAGTCGCCCTGCGGCCCCTATACTGCACTTCTCGGCGGACCTCATCGGAGACCACGAGCCGAGCAGTGCAGCAGTGGCGATGCAAGCCGGTGGGAACGAAGCTCTTCGACGACTGGGAGAGCTCGCCCGAAGTCGCTCCCGGGAGGTTCGGCAAAATAACCTGGACATCCTCGAGGTGTTCCACGCAGGCGCCCTCTCTACAATGGCTCAGCAGAATGGACTAAAGGTCCTGCCGTGTCCGGCAAGATTCTCCGAGGAAGATGGATGGAGTGGCCTAGAGGCCAAACAGCGACGACAACTGCGACAAGCCCTTGGCGAATACAGGCCCAGGCTTGTAGCGATGAGGTTGGAACCCCCCCCGGAGAAAAGAGTCAGCAGAGCCGGAGCCGAATCAGGCAGCCCAGGTCAAAACATCGGTTCGGAACGCCTTGGCATTGGAGGTCGCGGAGACCCAGCTCCACCGTGGGGACAGCTTCCTCCTCGAGGCCCCCGCATCGTCAGGTGTCTGGAAGCTTGATCGAACGAGCCGACTTCTGGACATGCCGGATGTGGCGATGATTCAAGGCGATCTTGGAACTCAGTTCATGACGAATGACCTGGGGATATCGTGTAATCTCATGTCCTCATCGAGGGAGAAGTTCCCGCCTGAGGAGATCTCGCAGGCGGGGGACGAGCACATCAACCTGGTCTCGCCGAGCAACCTCATGTCCAACCTGTCTGGAGAGGTCTTCAAGAGGTCGGAAGCGATGGCTGGGGCCCTCCTTCGTCAGGGCGACTTCTCTCACCAAGCGTGTCGTCGGCTCCTGAAGAGCTTTCCATGGAAAGAGCTGCCTTTGGGAAGAGGGGGCACCTCTCCTTTAGCTCGAAAACGACGCTGCGCCGTGACCCTCGGCCAGTTTACCCATGGGGGCGTCGGGGGCATCACTCGGGCTTCTGGGATGATTCCGGAAGCCACCAGGTATTTCAACCGCTACCTCACCTCTCAGGGGGCAACGCATCCAAGGTCGTCTTTAAAGATTGGCATCAACAGCAGCCTCTCGTACCACCGCGACGTCCACAATGTCGGTCCGAACAGCACCATTGCCCTCGGACAGTTCAGCGGTGGGCAAGTATGGGTGGAAGATCGAGAAGGCACAGAGTGGAGAGAGATCAGCCCCGATCGTTGGGTGGCCGGCAAGCTGCATAAGACGCACCACCGGCTAGTGAGTTTTTCTCCAAAGGACCTCCACCGAGTTGAGCCTCATAGCGGAGAACGATGGAGTCTCACAGGATTCCAGGCGCGCTCCGCCCGCCGACTGACTATGTCAGGGCAGGGGACCTTGGGAGCTTTGGGCTTCAATCTACAGGGGTATGGGGCCACGACGCAGTGCCAGCACCACCGAGACCTGGCCCTACTGGATGCCGCGGTTTTCACTGCCAGTACCCCGATTTGCAGGATTCCGCCCGAAGCAGCCCTTAGCGAAAAGTATAACTTTGTCGAGAATGGGGAGGACACGGATGATGAGCTCCATGACGAAGGCGAGGTGGCTGCCGATGCACGAGGTGAGCGAAGGCCGCGGCTGAAAGTGTCAGAGGAGCAGAAGAGATTGATTCGCAAACTTCACGTCAATACAGGACACCCCCCGATGGAGAGATTCCTGAGGACGATGCGGGCCGCCGGTGCCCTTCCGCATGTCTTGGAGTACATCCGGGACCACTTCAGGTGCGATGACTGTGAAGTCAAGGTGCAGGCAGACTCTCGTCGACGTGCCCAATGCCCTCGCCTGTACTCCTTCAATCGGGTGTTGTCCGTCGACATTATGTACCTGCGCTTCCAAAAGAGGCAGATCCCCATCATGAACATGGTATGCGCCGGCACCAATTACCACGTGGCAGTCCGAGTTCCCAGCCCTAATGGAACCCCGAGCTCTTCGGCAACATGGAAGACCTTCCTCGAGACGTGGGTGAGGTACATCGGGGCTCCAAGTCTGGTGATCTGCGACTCGGGGAACGAGTTCAAAGGAGCGTTTGAGCGAGGCCTAGAACAACTTGGTGTCTTCAACATGTGTGCGCGGCAGAATCGCCTTGGCAAAACGCCAAGTCCGAGCGCCACGGCGGATGGCTCAAACGACGGCTCACCCAGGAGGTGGAGTCAGGCAGGTGCATCTTCGACAGCATGGACGAGCTTGATGAATTCCTGGCTCAGATCACCGCTGCGAAAAATCGCTGGTGGAATCAAGGAGGCCATTCGCCTGTGCAACTAGTATTCGGGGAATTACCCCGGGTGTCAGCAGAGCTGTTGAGCGACGGGCCAGGAGGTCTACAGCCCCTTTCAGACTCCCTCCATGATCCAACAGGGGGAGACGAGGTTGGCATCGAGTTCCGGCGAAGAACGGCCATCCGCGACAGGGCCAGACAGCTCGCGATGGAGAACGACTCCAAGGAAGCCATTCAGAGAGCTATCAAGACCACTACGAGCCCAACGCGTAAGTGGAACCTATAGGCCAATGGGTTTATGTTTTCCGTCGAGCCAAGCCCGGGGACACACTTCATCCTACCTCGCGATGGGTTGGACCAGGACTTGTGGTTATGAACTCACAAGGCATTGTGTGGGTGGCGATGCGGACGAGATTGTGGAGGTGCACATCAGAGCAACTGAGGCCAGCTTTCCCATCAGAGGTTCTTGGGAGCCAGCTGAGCTCTGATCCGGAGCTGGCCAACCTACTGCGCAAGGTCACCTCCAACACTCGAGCTGGGGCGGTTGACGTCGCCCGTGAGGGTCCTCCTCCTGGAAGTGCGGATGAGCAAGCGCCCATTGAGCAGGTCATACCAGAGGGGCTTCCCGTGGACGAGTCACAAGTGTCAAGACGAAGCGACTCCAGCCGGACTCCAGCCTGCCTCCA